AATGTTATGGTGCCTAGTGCAACAGCTGTAAGTGGCTCGAACACATCAGAGTCAGTTTTGGTTCAACAACTCCAAGCTGAGGTGTTAAGGTTGTCAGAGGCATTGCAATTGCAACAGCAGCAGCTTCAACAGATGCAACAACAATTACAATCTAGGGCGAACACACAGCTACAGGAGGTGGCTTCAACAAGACCCAGTCTTTCAGCTAACTTGCCTACAGCATCTAATGCTGTTGTGCCTTGTGCACATGCTGTAAGTGATTCGAACCCAGCTTTGGCAAAAGCACACCAAGTAGTAGCATCAGCCGGTGCGCCCCCAGCATCATTTGCACAGGGCGCTGCCTCTGGCACGCCACTAGGGATAGGTCTTAGTCATGCGAGCCATGCGGGTACACCATGTGGTAATTCGACTCGTCGAGCCACAGGAAGTGAGTTATTCCCGCAGCAGGTGCTTCCTCCGGTTGTGCCACCATTGCCATTGCACCTTGTCCGACGAGGTGCCCAACACTCAATGCCATCATATTATCACCACAAAAGTTCACGTAGGTCGGTTGACTCTTCGAGCTCAGGGTCATCATCCGACAATTCCTCCATATCACCTGTAAATTTCGCGAGACGGGAAGCCATGACCGTTATGATCACGTCCCTGACTGACCTGGTTTTTCCCCACCCTCCTGTTAATGCAGGTGAAGCTCGAGGTTACATGAACCAGGTGTTAATGGCCATAGGCAAACTTCAAAAGACCCCTGGTAATGAACTTTACTTGTGGGCCCAGGAGTGCCTAACCTTAACAGAGGAAGAGCTCCAAGCCGACCCTCGCTACCCTCGCACTGACCGCGAAGTAGCATCCAAGCTCTTAGGAACTTGCAAAGGCGGAAAGTTTGGACTCCTCTTCAATCAGATGTTAGAATCTGAGCGCGCTGCTAGTGGGGCTATGCCCTGCGGGCGCGCGATGTTGCGTAGAATATTTAAATATTTCCAGCTAGAGCGTGACCGCCTGGGCATGCTTGGCGAAAGAAATTTGTTGTCCCTTAAGGTCCCCGGTAACACTATAGCCGATCTAGTTACCTTTAGAGACACCTATACCTACGTAATGTCAACAATTCCCGTAGTGGATTTGCCGCGACCGCAAACGCTGTTTAACCATCTTATCGACGAACTTGAGCATCATGCTGTAATGGCCCCAAAGGTCGTTAAAGCTACGGAAGCCCGACTAGATAGCCATCGTCGCACAACTGACTGGTTATGGTCTAAAGTTGAACTAGCCATCCAACTGGAACAGCAAGAGCGCAATCGCCGAGATTTTGATGAACAGCTAGGTCTAAAACCAGCGGCAGGGTACTTCGGTACCAATCCACCTCCCGATGACAACATCGCTGGTGCCCCAGCACCAATCCCAGACCCAGACTCGGAGAACACTCCTGAATCTCCAACAAGTCAGGGTTCAGGGGGGGTGAGACCGAAGAGGATATGCAGGCAGCCCCTACCCAAACGGCTAGACCCGTAGGATTAAAGCAGCCTCCATCCACTGATGTGGATAGCACGAACCCTAAGGGGAAGAGGACCAAGAGAGCAGCCCGTAAATCGGCAGCCGAGAAGGCCACCACCCCTTGCATGTTCTTCGCGTACAATGCATGTAGGGCAGAATCGTGCGCATTCCTCCACTCTGAAACCAATAAATATCGAGGACCTCCTCCTAGATCACTTAGGAAAGGTAATAAAGCCCCTCCTAATGTTCATGCTAGCGTAGCAACTGTGATAGTCCCAGAGATCGCTGTCTTTGACGCGATTAAACCTGTAATCACTGCCATGCCTTTCGAAGCTTCCACAGCCATCCCTTGGCTGTGGGACACTGCAGCAGGTCGACACCTCATTGGACGCCAAGCCCTCACACCATCCATGCGGGAGAGTGTACAGCACTCTCCAAATCCCGTAGCTTTCGCTACCGGAGGTGGCAGCCGATCCGGCAAAGGATCCCTGACATTTAGTGCCAGTAAGATTCTTGATGGTGAAGAGGTCTATGTTCTAGAGGAATGCCCTCCAGCACAAAGTATAGGTAAAGCAGTCATAGATAAAGGTTACATGTTCATCTGGGATCCACGGGAGAGCGTCCCATATCTAATAGCTCCCGAAAACGTCAATAGATGCAGGCTAAAAGTTCCCAGGAACGCTAAAATCTGCGCATCTAGGGTGGTAGGGTATGTCCCACAATATGATGAGGAACTGACTCCATGTTCATTTGATCCACATGAGCGCCCCGCTCCCGTACCAAATGCGATGCCAGCTTCATCCGTAGGGCCCAAGACACTTGTAGAAGTAGATGATCCCAATGACTATGGTGTTTCGTCAACCCCTACATATAATGTCTTTCCACCCGCAAAAGATGTAGAAGCAGATGTAGCACCTGAATCTTTTGATGACACTGTTAGTTTGGCTAACACGTCGGGATCTAAAATGGTCGTTGTCGATGTTTCCAACGTACCCAATAACACAATGGATGACCAGCTCCTAATTGAGCTGGGGAGCGGCGAGCCGCCAAAGGATAAAATCTTGAAGCAGCGAGCCACCAATCCAAGCCATACGCGATTAAACTTATCAAATAGCCAGTTTTACCCCATTAGCCATATAACTAAAGATAACGCTATGAAGTTTTCACATTCCAATGATGGCAAGGCCGATGGTTTTGATGATTCTTCAGAGCAGCAGCATGAGCAGCTCTCATCAAGTAGCGTTGTCCTAGATAAAGGCACCCAAAAGTTTGAGGTAATAACAGGAAAAGTTGAATCGCATGGAAGTAAAAGCGTAGCAGCCAATGTGCACAACCCAGCGCGCCTGGTGCACGAAGGCGATCTCGTCTTCCCGGTAGGTATGTTATGTGGTCATGCCCTCTTCAGGGGGGGTAACCCGCATGACTTGAAATCCCCTAATAATACTGAGGATGACGTTCTCTGTCATAAAGATGGGGGTAATAATGACCCTTCAACACCTGATCTTAGGAGATGTCCCATAAACACACTCTTAGATCATGTCCTCGCCACTGAGGATACGCCTGGGTGTGCTACCTGCAACACCCATACACGGCATCCTGCCGACCAACGCTGCGCCCACTTCACAAATAGTAATACGGTTGAAGAAAAGAAACGACACCAAAAAGGGAAAGAAAGTACCACTTAACGCAAGCACATAAAGAGTCAAAAGTGACGAGGATGCTGAGCTCCATGCTCGCATCAGGGTAGGTGAAGAAATCTCTAGCCCAATACCTTTTCACTCTTCCTTGAAATCCGCGGCTTCATGGGAATAGTGATAAAATGTTCCGGAGTTAGAGCTTCCCAATCCTGGTTTCCCGTCACCCCCAATAGCCAGCGTTTTAAGTGCCATAATTCAATCCCAAGTTGTTTCATCAGCCTCAATCCCTTGTCAGGAATCGCTTCCAGGGTCTAACCAACCAACTGGTCGCGCTAACCGTAGACATCGGAAAGTTGCCAAGATCGCACTTAGTGCGAATGCTAAGCCAACCACATCCAAGTTTGCCTCTTCCCCTGACATCTAGAAGTTGTCGATAGGTGAACATAATGGCATTCCATGTGATAAACTTAGTAGGGATAACACAGAGTTAGGTAATGAGTCGCAGTGCGGACTGCTGGGCAATCACACAGCTGAACCCGCTGAAACCGCGCCACCACGTGTGTGGACCTCATCCTCCTGCTCACATACATTCCCTTGGCAGCGCCCAAAACATAATGTTGGTCTTAGGTCAAGGGCATCCGCCCAACTTAAGAAACCTTCTCAAGACACAATATCCACCTCCATCACCAATGATGGACCGAAATGGATGTGTCACACACGCATCGCTAAACCATAAACCAACGCATAGATTGCTGCGAGCGCCCGCTTGCGCAATATTAGTGCGTAGGTGCCTGCCAAAAGCGCAGAGCGTGGATCAGGCGAGGGGGGAGTTGAAATATATCGACCCCTGAGCCCCCACTACATGTAGCATAGCAGGTAGGTATAGCGTAGTGTAAATAGCGTAGCTATGAGTTCCAATTCAAACTCCAAATAGTTTTTCCTTAGCATGTCGCTCTTGCGCGACATACTGTACATTGAGTATCATAACATACCTAGAAGCGTTAGGTATGTTCAGTGCCTAGGGTTTATTCCAGGGTTTTAGTTGTCCCTTATCCAACAACCACCGGGTTCGGGTCATAACTAACCGCTGGTTGACGTCCGTGGCTCAAGTGCCCAAAAAGGTCGGGTGCTTGGTTTGTTTAATGGGGTTATCGAAGGATACCGTGGTTGGTTCCCTTGTTCGGTCCCCTGTTTTCACTTCACTAGGTACCAGGGTTTTGACACACTGCCAGCTATTGTTATGGAGGAATCATTGAATTGAATCTCTCAAGGGCATCTCCAATCAGAGGTTCAGGGCCAAAAAAATCTGCAGGAATTGGTCGATTTGGTGCTAATCCCATACCCTCACTGAGACAGGGACCCTTTCTAATGCAAGAAGATGAATACCCTAAAATGAAAGACTGGTTGGTTTGGAACATGTGTTATTTTTCCATATATTGGGAATAATTAATGGAATTTCATCATCCCAACTGACTTTCATATTGGGAAACCACCAAGCCAGAAATTCCCCTGTGGTCAACCTGCGTGGGTACCATCGGCATGTGTCAAACAAAGCCCTTGGTGATGCTCACCAGCGTTGCTGAAATGGTGTTGACATGTCTTGACATCGTTTGTCCTTACAAAGTGGGGCCGCCTAGATAGCTAAGTTGGTTTATAACTCCAATAGCTATGGTTTATGGTACCTATAAGCCTATAACTATAGTTAATGGGGTTTATAAACCATCTTATAACTGGGGGGCCCCACCTTGTAGCCTCTTATAATCTTCCGGGCAATGGTACACCCATGACTTTCCCATACGTTTCCGTATTTTTTTGGCCGGAAATCAACAGATTTTTGGTCTGGGAACGTCATGGAACACCCAGCCGGTCAATGAGGAGCTAAAGCTTCTCGCGAAGTGGTGAGTGATGAGGCACATCAAGGGCAGGGCGTCATGTCAGGTCCAAAATCTTTGCTTAAGGCTTGAGGAGTATATAACTATACACCCCTAAAATTTAACATGGACCCCCACCCATTTATGGCCATATCTGATAGGAATATATAGGAACATCAGTTTCCAAGCACCAGATTTTTACATACATTTTTGGGGTTACATGTTTTAGGGGTAGCTCAAAGTATAAGTTTTGTGTCATGCAGCAATCGGATTCAGATACCCAGCCAGCCTGCAGTTGTTTCGGAGTTTCTTCCATTGCAGGTGGTACCCAAAGCGGGACCCCAGCGCCTTGCAAGGAGACTTTCTGGGGTCATCAGCAAATATCAGAGAAGGGGAAAACAACAACAATGTACAACAATTACATCATGTTATATGAGTTATATAATGGATGGGGATGAATGATACCAATAATGAGAGGTGCGGCTGGTCAGTGATTTCTTGAGAATCTTAGATCTCATACTGTCCATCCCCCGTCCCGGTTGGGGACGATTCAAAACCAGATCAATTTTCAAGTCTTTTGTGCACCACTGTGGTACCACTTGAAGTTTTCAAGATGTCTTGACTTGTTCCTGGACTGGATGTTCCTGGACACCTTGTCTTGTCTTGGGGTCGTTGTTGATAGTTGAACATACTCCAAGAGCCTTGAGATTTTTGTGGCAGATGTCTTGACTTGTATTGATCTCTGGAAAACGTCGTTTGAAAAATACAAACTTGCGAAGCCCTTGCAAAGTGGCAAACTCCAATCAACTCCATCTATTGATTGGCTCCCTTTTTGTGCCTATCATTAAGGACTTTCATCATTCCAGAATCAATGGTTGAGGTTTCACCTATTTGCGTGGAGGTAGGGGTACCCCACAATGAAATGATGTCTCAGGTCCCATTTTTGCCCCAAAATGCAAGGGCTAAAATGGCTATTCCTGACGAGGTTTCGGGTAAATCCACCAGAGATACTCCCAAATACCCTCTGGTAGTGACTGTTACATAGCTATTGAAAATGGCCACTTAGTTAGTTGATTTACCCATTAAAAATGGTTATGTTCCATAGTTATGTTAGTTTACCGGAGGGTATATCCAGACATCACATTGTTGATGAATTAGTCTAGTCATATCTCCACGTTTGCATGTGCATTGTGTATTCCCATTATGTCACCAGATCCCCCTCTCAATGGATTGGTTTAAGGGAAAACCTAAACCGGAAACCATAGATTTTCTCATTAAATATGGGGCTTAAACCAGTAAAATTTCCATCCAATCCATTGACCCTCCCAAAACGAAGCGCTAAGGCCGGCGCCAGAAGCGAAAAACGAAGCGATGACTGGAGGATCTGGAGGAGGTTATCCAGGAGCCACTGGTGGCGCAGGCGCGTCATAAGGGGTCCGAAGGTTGGTGGGGCCACTTCCGTTTTTTTTTGGGATGAGAATACCCATGACGGATCCATGGTGCTGCTATATATGGTGCTCCATGGATCCCATCAATATACCCCCTTTATGTTAGCATATATACCAGCACCATGGATCCGTCATGGGATAAGGCATATCGAACTGTTTCTGAAACGGATGTCTAGTCTAATATACGTTACCATAGTCTAATAGTGCTATTTTGAACATGTTTTTCATGAAGCACTGCTGTCGTTTTTTGTGGCGAACTTACCCTGAAGAGCTCCGCTTCAATGCTGATGCCCGCCAAACTTCATGGCCCTCCATGGCTTTGAATCAACCGGATGCAGTTGAGATAGGCAAACAACTTCAATCTCAACTAAACTTGCATATATATATACAGAATATGATTTCATATGTGCACACACATGCACACTACAGTACACATGTAAGTGCCACACCATCCCATTGCATTACTTTACATGTCAAAAAACACATATAATTACAGTACATTACTTGACCTTACATTGTACCACTCATATACACATCCACCGCTATTATCAAGATATATATTGATATATCTACACATGTTGTCTATTGATGTATATTGTAGATATATGATCATATATTGATTATCATACAGCATTGATATTGATCATATATATTGCTTATTGTTCTATATGATCTATTGATGTATGATATGTTGATCACACAATTTATATCATACACATTGCATATGAACCGTTGCTTAACGTTGCACATCGTATTAGGGACATTGGTCGCTTGTGACCCTAATCACTGTTTCTACGTTTTGAAGTAAAAAAGATAGGGTCACAAGTGACCAGGTGTGCTCGAAGTCCCACACCTGCCACACGAAAATGGTGCGGCCCCTTTGTGGTCGCCTGTGACCCTATTCGTGCCCGAAGCATGATTTTTGGAGGAAGTCTCGCAGAAAAGCTTCGTTTTTGAGTTTCGTAGCTTCATTTTTGAAGGAAGTCTCGCAGAAAAGCTTCGTTTTTGAGTTTCGCAGCTTCATTTTTGAAGGAAGTCTCGCAGAAAAGCTTCGTTGTAGAGCTTCGAAGCATCATTTTTGAAGGAAGTCTCGCAGAAAAGCGTCGTTTTAGACCTTCGAAGCTTCATTTTTGAAGGAAGTCTTGCAGAAAAGCTTCGTTTTAGAGCTTCGAAGATTCATTTTTGGAGGAAGTCTCGCAGAAAAGCTTCGTTTAAGGGCTTCGAAGCTTCATTTTTGAAGGAAGTCTCGCAGAAAAGCTTCGTTTAAGGGCTTCGAAGCTAGGTTTTTGAGTTTGGAAGCTTCAGTTTTGAAGGAAGTCTCGTAGAAAAGCTTCGTTTTAGAGCTTCGAAGCTTCATTTTTGAAGGAAGTCTCGCAGAAAAGTTTTTGTGTTTGAGTTTCGAAGCTTCATTTTTGTAGGAAGTCTCGCAGAAAAGCTTCGTTTAAGGGCTTCGAAGCTACATGTCATTTATTTATCTATCTATCTATCTATCTATCTATGTATCTATCTATCTATCTATATCTAATTATCTATCTATCTATCTATCTATATCTATCTATCTATCTATCTCTATCTATCTCTCTCTCTATCTATCTTGTTATCTTATCTTATCTCATCTTATCTCATATCTTATCTTATCTATCTATCTATCTATCTATCTATCTATCTATCTATCTATCTATCGATCTATCTATCTATCTATCTATCTATCTATCTATCTCTCTCTATCTATCTTGTTATCTTATCTTATCTTATCTCATCCTATCTTATCTTATCTCATGTATCTTATCTTATCTTAACTTATTTTATCTTAACTTATTTTATCTTATTATTTTATCTAACTCTATCTATCTATCTATCTATCTATCTATCTCTCTATCTCTCTATCTATCTATCTATCTATCTCTCTCGCTCTCCCTTTCTATCTTGTTATCGCTGTATCTCTTTACCTCAACTTCTAAAAACGGTCCGAACATGGTGTGTTTTGTACATGTTGACTCTCTCTCTCTCTTCTCTTATCTCTTTATCTCTCTATCTCTCCATCTCAACTGCTAAAGGCGGTCCGAACATGTTGGTTTTTGTGCATGTTGACTTCGAAATGGACGTCACGCCACAACGGCGTGCAATTTTGTATTTCTCATCTGGGCAGCTGGCTCCGCGCCCGCCGCTGTAGCGAGCTTACTTGTCGACCCTCCGGAGCCACAAGGCATTGGAAAACACTACCTTTTGGCTCCTCTGCATCTTCTTTCTTCTGACTCGTTCTCTTCTCTGATCTGCTCTCTTCTACTCTTCTCTTCTCTCTGCCTCTTCCCATCTCTGCTTTTCATCTGCCCATATTGTCGGAAGTTTGATTTCGAAACTTCCTTCGATAATGCAAAATATATTCACGAAGAAAGTTATACACAGACAAACTCGCGGCCAGACAATTATACAGAAAGTTGCGGCCAACCTTAGCAATCCATGCGTCGGTGATGCACTGAATTTCACCACCATTGACAATGGTATAGTATGATAGTATACTGTTATATCCATGCATGTCCATCTATTTGTCCATTAGGGCATTAGGGCATATCCATTCACATTGTACATGGGTTGTACAAGTCTCGTGACCTTCCAATATGTTGCACTGTGGTGCTCAAGTGATTGCTGAAATCCTGGGAGAAAGATTAGTTTGTGAAGTTCATGCGCGCACTTGCGCTAAAGAACTTTCAAATCGCATGTGCCAAGTTGCAGTCCTCAATTGTGCCAAATTTGGTATTGTGTCGTCCGCAGTGGCATTTTGCCAAGGCAGAAGGTGGGTGCAGCATCACGTAGACAAGAAACATATAGTTACGTATTAGGCTTCAATCTGCTTCATGTCGTATCACCGTAACGAGTCAAGTAATGATGTAAGTACGATGATCCGTCCCCCCTAACCAAACCCTAAATGGCTGAGTCAAGTAATGATGTAAGTAGAATGATCCCTCCCCCCCAACCAAACCCTAAATGGCTGAGTCAAGTAATGATCTAAGTTGAATGATCCCTCCCCCCTAACCAAACCCTAAATGGCTGAGTCAAGTAATGATGTAAGTAGAATGATCCCTCCCCCCAACCAAACCCTAAGTGGCTGAGTCAAGTAATGATGTAAGTAGAATGATCCCTCCCCCCCAACCAAACCCTAAATGGCTGAGTCAAGTAATGATCTAAGTTGAATGATCCCTCCCCCCCAACCAAACCCTAAATGGCTGAGTCAAGTAATGATGTAAGTAGAATGATCCCTCCCCCCCAACCAAACCCTAAATGGCTGAGTCAAGTAATGATCTAAGTTGAATGATCCCTCCCCCCCAACCAAACCCTAAATGGCTGAGTCAAGTAATGATGTAAGTAGAATGATCCCTCCCCCCCAACCAAACCCTAAATGGCTGAGTCAAGTAATGATCTAAGTACGAATGATCCCTCCCCCCCAACCAAACCCTAAATGGCTGAGTCAAGTAATGATGTAAGTAGAATGATCCCTCCCCCCCAACCAAACCCTAAATGGCTGAGTCAAGTAATGATGTAAGTAGAATGATCCCTCCCCCCCAACCAAACCCTAAATGGCTGAGTCAAGTAATGATCTAAGTAAATGATCCCTCCCCCCCAACCAAACCCTAAATGGCTGAGTCAAGTAATGATGCTGAAAACCAAACCCTAAATGGCTGAGTCAAGTAATGATGTAAGTAGAATGATCCCTCCCCCCCAACCAAACCCTAAATGGCTGAGTCAAGTAATGATCTAAGTTGAATGATCCCTCCCCCCCAACCAAACCCTAAATGGCTGAGTCAAGTAATGATGTAAGTAGAATGATCCCTCCCCCCAAACCAAACCCTAAATGGCTGAGTCAAGTAATGATCTAAGTTGAATGATCCCTCCCCCCCAACCAAACCCTAAATGGCTGAGTCAAGTAATGATGTAAGTAGAATGATCCCTCCCCCCCAACCAAACCCTAAGTGGCTGAGTCAAGTAATGATGTAAGTAGAATGATCCCTCCACCCCGACCAAACCCTAAATGGCTGAGTCAAGTAATGATCTAAGTTGAATGATCCCTCCCCCCCTACAAACCCTAAATGGCTGAGTCAAGTAATGATCTAAGTACGATGATCCCTCCCCCCTAACCAAACCCTAAATGGCTGAGTCAAGTAATGATGTAAGTAGAATGATCCCTCCCCCCCAACCAAACCGTAAATGGCTGAGTCAAGTAATGATCTAAGTTGAATGATCCCTCCCCCCCAACCAAACCCTAAATGGCTGAGTCAAGTAATGATATAAGTAGAATGATCCTTCCCCCCCAACCAAACCCTAAATGGCTGAGTCAAGTAATGATCTAAGTTGAATGATCCCTCCCCCCCAACCAAACCCTAAATGGCTGAGTCAAGTAATGATATAAGTAGAATGATCCTTCCCCCCCAACCAAACCCTAAATGGCTGAGTCAAGTAATGATCTAAGTTGAATGATCCCTCCCCCCCAACCAAACCCTAAATGGCTGAGTCAAGTAATGATGTAAGTAGAATGATCCCTCCCCCCCAGCCAAACAATTGCATGGTGGAGAGTTTTTAAAGGAGACAATCGCATGGTGGAACGCAGGGGGGGTGAGAGTTTTTAAAGGAATAGGGTCGCAAGTGACCGTTTTTTAGGGTCGCAAGTGACCGGGGATTTTAGGGTCACAAGTGACCGTTTTTTAGGGTCGCAAGTGACCATGGACCCTCGTATTACCAGGCGCAGTAGCTGCAGCTGCACCAGCGGCAGCGGCGCGGCAGAAAAGCAAGTTCATCAAGGTGCTGAACGAAACTGGGGGGTGCAAGGCAGAGGTTATTTCTATGGAAAATATCCATTATTTCTATGGAAACAATCCATTATTTCTATGGAAAATATGGGATTATTTTCCTATTTATAATGGATTGTCCACTATCTCAATGGAAAATATGTGTGTTTTTTTTTCTGGACAATCCATTGTAAATGAAGGTTCGAATGGAAAATCATCTGCTAATGGCTGTAACCATGGGAATTTTTTCACACCTCCAATAGTTGAAATATGGGGCCCCTATGACTATGGTGATTCACAAAAATCATTGGACCTGCACTCGTGCACTCCCGGGAACGGATGGGTTTTCCAGTGGATTTACCCTCTACAATGTGAGGCCCCGAAGATAGCGTTCAGTTGGCGCACATAACTCCAATTTCACTATGGTTTATGGTAGTTATAACGAACTAGTTACTGGGGCGAATCTAAACCAACACACATAACTGGGGGGCCTCACATTGTAGGAATGATTCGGAATGCAACATGGCTAGCTGGGAAATCGGTAATCCCGAAGTAGATGGGTATTGACATGCGAAGGTCTTGAAGGAAATGTCTGTTCCCCCCCCCAGCAAACCATATTTGATTACCAGAGGGTCAAACAAACACTTGCCAAACCAGAAAGGGCATATACACTGGGGATATCATGAGATATTTGATGGGGACATGGAGATTAAAATGGGATTGGTTGATTGGAAAATCGTCAGGAACCCCTTTGGGAATCATGTAATCTACCGGCAACCTGGCAAGGGAAAATCAGCCAACAAAACCAACGAAATATCCATCTAAAAAGATTGTTTTCCATGGTTTTCCCATGAAACATGTTTCGGTTTGGAATATGATTTTGGGATCGGAATTTGGGGTGATGATTTCCCGGGAAAACCAAAGTTCAACCGCCAACTGGACATCAATTGATTTAAGGTTGACACTATTTGGCAATGATAGCAAGTTCAACCCCTGAAATGGACATGGAAGATTATTTTGATGATTTTGGGTGGTGGACAATTGCAATTTTGGAGTTTCAGATGATTTTTTTGTGTTTCACAGGATTGCTCGGAGATGCCACCTTTGTAGCTCGCATCAGTGACGGGGTGTCATGGTCAAAGCCTTAAGACGTAGCGAACCGAGGGCTATCGATTTTGTGACCGTGGCAGGGTGCCGGGGATTAGAACTTTTGAAGTTTCCCGTGGCCCGTATCTATACAGTTTGTCTCTTCAGTACTGTTTTCTACTTCTCCATCTTCAAACGGACAATGGGCCTCCAACCCGCTAATATTAAACACCCCCTAAATGGTAAATTATGTATATAATTATATATATATATATATCATATAATTATGTGGAAATTCCCTGCAAAACCATGGGGGATTTTTTTTTGGATGTGCAGTCAGCTAGTGGTTACGTGTCTTGATGGTTTGGAACTCTGCCATGGGGCGAAATGGCCAGGTTCGATCCTTGACCCCAGACTCGCAAGGCGTAAAACAGATGGGGGTGGCATGAGCTGGAGCCAGCTAGCTAGCTACCAGTTGAGTTTCCCAAGCACATGACATTTTTGTTGTAGTATATACCCTCTGGTTATGACTAACATAGCCATGGAAAATCACCATGAAATTAATAGGTAAACCATCTATTTCTATGGCTCATCGATACCATGGCAAACTGTTCGTCATAACCAGATGGTAAGTTGTTTGAAGGGTCAAGACTCCAGCAGCTAAGAGGTCATGAAAGCCCAGTCGTAAATGGTAAGGTTGACCTTCTTGCGAAAAAAGGCCTTGAGATGTGAAAAAGTCTAGCACAGGCAGAAAAACACGTCTGTGTTTTTTCCTTGGTCGCTACAAAACAATCATTCCAGCATTGCCTACACACAAATGATATATATCAAATGATGACAGATGCGTCGTCTAGAGTCTAGAGCGAGAAATTGAGATGTTTTTCATTGGTAAGGTCTGTGCTCCCACCAATCGCAAATAAAAATTGCCATTTATAGTGAGTTTTCCCATTAAGAATGGTGATTTTCCATAGCTATGTTAGTTTACCAGAGGGTAAATGATTGTCACAAGGGGGAACATCTGTGGTTTCTCTGACAATAGGCTGCAAAATTCCAAGTCGATTCCAAAGATTCCACTTTATCCATCTTTATCACATCCTTTTCCATATATATACATATATACCCTCCGGTTATTTAACATAGCCATGGAAGCCATGGCCCATAGAAATAGATGGTTTACCTATATATTTACCTATTAATTTCATGGTGGATCTTTCCATGGCAAATGTTAGTCATAACCAGATGGTATATATACATATATATATATATATTATTTGCCATTTAAGTGTCATATGTTTTGGCCACATGGCGCAAGCCATGGCCTGCCATGGCTTGCCAACAGTCGTTCCCGTCGTTCGACGGCGAAGGTGTGAGCCTCTTCGCCAAAGTGGTCGAAGTTCGACCGAAGGCGTCCCAGGGTATTTTGACGATGCGATGCCGGGAGCAAACCGGCCAGCAGTTGAGTTCACGAAGCCATGAACACATCCATTATTTATATATATATATATACAATATCTATACCAATAGTCTATATATATAGTTATATGATATATCTTATATAATAATAATAATAATAATAATAATAATAATATATATATATATATATAATAGAATTTATATGATATACCCGGGTATAAGATATAAGAAGTTGTTATATAAGTTCGAGAACTATAGATATAAGTTATATCCATTTATATCCCCCAACAGTTCACCAAGTGATGTGCGCCAACCTATTGAGGGGGCCTCACCCTGTATATATCCGGATCGTTAAGCGCTTTCAGCGGCCAGCGACAGCCGTCCAGTGGGCTTGGGTGAGACGATGACAACTTCTATGAATTCGATGACAAGTTCTGAAACACTGCGTTAACCGCTTGACTGGATTATATATATCCATAATCAATATAATACAATAAAAACATGTATATGTGCAGTTATGTGCATATATACATATATCTACATATACAGATATAGATACACACACACATGTGTATATATGTATATATATATATACAGTATACACATATGTATATATCTATCTATGCTTATATCGTTCCAGGTTGATGGCTCGCCCAGCATCTCCGAGGTCGGATTCGGAGCGGTTTTTTGGGCGTATTTTTTTGAAAGCCAGCGGGATTTTATGGAAAGCGGGGGGTATTTACATTGCATTTCTGATTACCCTCTCGTTATTTAACATAGCCATGGAAATTGGCCCATTTATAGATGGTTTACCTATTAATTTCATGGTGATTTTCCATGGCTATGTTAAATAACCAGATGGTATTTATGGTGATTTATGAGAGTTTCACTGGATTTTGTTTGTGATTTGGAATGGGATTGACATTTAAAAATTTACCCTCCAGTAAAGTAACTTGTTGACCCTGAAAATAAGCAATTTATAGCGGAAACGAATCTTCCATCTGCCAGGGTCCCTGTTAATTTACAGGAGGGCAATGGATATAATGTGGTAAAACCCAATAATGAATCATCCCCAAAATCACCATAGGTGAGCTTTATCATCGAACATTTATCGTCTTACTAATGCCGTTGATGGTTTAATATGGTTTAACCACGCATTTAATGGTGGTAAAGCAATAGGATCCACCATCCACAATTTTTCCATTTGATTGGGTGGTATAAACCATCAACACATGGGTGGTTTATTATTGCTTTATTAATGGCTATAATTGGCAGATAGTGGGTATATAATGTGATGTAATTTGTTGATGACACTTTTTAATATGTTTAATGGGATATCATGGGTTAAAAACAATGGACGGTGTAATGAATATGAATGACTATTATATGATCTGATCAAAAAATATATAATATATATAACTATTTGAACTTGAACATGAAACCCGAAGGCATAGAAATTCCCAAACTACGAGTTGACGCTGAGAATGGCCCTTTTGCAGATGAGAGTGTAGTCTTCCAACCCCCTATTTAGTAGGGTCTATGGCAGTTGGGGGGATGGTATTATTTTATTATGTGATGATATATAAGAATGACTAGTTCTAACATTGTACAGTTTTTGCCTAGCTTATACCCTCCGGTAATTTAACATAGCTATGGAACATGGCCCAGTTATAGATGATTTACCTATTAAAAATGGTGATTTCTCATAGCTATGTTAAATTGCCGGAGGGTAACACACATCACGGATATAGGTACTGTAACTGGAGTGAAACCGACACCGTTGAACGCCAATGCCTCACCAGAAAAGGTTAAATTTGTCAAACCCTTCAGGAGTGGAGGTTTAGAACTGGGTTTATGATGTTTTTATATGCATAGCAGAAACATTCATGGACGATATTAATACACACTCTTTAAATGATACGTATATGTATATGTATATATATATGTATGTTTTTGCGTGGTTTTGGATTTGTAAAACATATATCAAAACATGTATTCTATAGGTGTCTATTTGCTATCCATCCATCGCAATACCGAACCCGCCCATCTCCCTCTAATTGCACATTTGCGCGTTTGGTTTATGACCTGGTCACTTTCGCAGAACGAATTGTCAATAGGGTTCAATCATCTCAAACCATGAAAGCTATAATTATATCATGTGGCAGCTCAAAACCCCCATGCAACGTGCAAAAAAGATCGAAAAAACACATGCCTCCATTACCCTGCCAGCAACTTCAAGATTGAAACTTGAAACCCCAAATTATATACCAAACTCCCATGATATATTTAATCATTTTCCCCATTGAGATGCCTATTTTTTCGTATGATATTCCAGTTATATACGCGTTATATCCCTGGTTAGATTAAGGGTTTGCAGTATGTGAATAGCTTAAGAGTTGGGGCCTTTGAGATTATAGGGGGTACCATGATTAGTTTCCTATATTTTCCTTTTATGTCTTATTAATACGACTGTGTTTCATGCAAAAAAAAACCATAGGGAATGGATTCCTGGGATACCCGTGGGGTTCAAGCCCTGGAGCTCGCAGGTGGTTGTGGGGGACCACACTGGCACGATCACCTTGCGGGCTCCAGACCCACAGGCCATTTCTAGGGTCTGCATTGGTGATATGAGCGGTGCTCTCATAGTGGGGAAGTTCCGATTTCAAGAATTGTGAGATGATTTAAATTTTGAGAATTTATATATGGCCAACAAGTTATTGAAAACTCATGAAAAGTCGGTTCTTCTGGAGTTGAGTCGGAGTTGAGGATGTTTTCATGGCGCTGCTTTGCTCTGCTTTGCTCTTCAGGTAGAGCTTTGCAAGCCGGGTGCGGTTCTGCACATCGAAAATGCGCAAATCGCCACTCAGCAGTCAGCAGGGTTTGCTGGCCAAAGCGCTCCAACCAAGTTTCCGGCACTCCTGCGGGACAGAAGTGATACCCTTTGGTAATTTAACGTAGCTATTGAAAATGACCATAGAAAAAGTGGATTTTCCCATTAAAAATGGTGATTTTCAATAGCCATGTTAAATTACCAGAGGGTATGATGTGCGGTTTTGTTTCAAAGTCGGGGATGCCGGATGATGCCGGGGTTCGAATTTCGAAACTCCAGTTGCTTCAAGACCGATGGAAATCATTTGTTGTTCCTCACAAATCTAGGTGGCTGGACGAAAGGTCCCAACCCCTATGGTGGCAAGATGATTTTCACAACAAAGTAGCTGGCACCATCTGGTAATCAAACACGGCAATGAAAAATCCTCTATTTATAGATGATTTTCCCATGAACAAAAAAAACACCTCCATGTAGTTGGAAGATAAACCCGGAGGGTTGTGGATGTTCTGCATGACCTCACTAGGAGACTTTAAAATGATGGGGCCCTGGGGGCCCGGTGGCATCGCCTCAAATGACCCCCCAGGTGATGTTGGGTGCCTTCATGCGCCTCTCAGCGGATGATTGGAAGGTCAATCCAACATTTCAGGGCAATCTACCCTCTGGTAATTTAACATAGCTATTGAAAATGGCAAGTTATAGTGGATTTTCCCATTAAAAATGGTGATTTTCCATAGTTATGTTAGTTTACCGGAGGGTATATGATTCTATATGCTATCTGGTTGGTGGTTTCAAACAGTTTGGATATTTTTCCATCATAAAAAAGGGATGTCATCCTTCCCATTGACGAACTCCATCATTTTTCAAGATGGTTAAAACCACCAACCAGATATGCTATGTATAATGGGACTTTTGGGAGAGATGATTAGATTCAATACCAAACCAGTGTTTTTTCTTTTCGTCGTGGGTGTGGTTGAAAGACAGGGAACAAGCAAACTTTATTCGCTACTTGGATGTGGACGCCATGGCAACTGGAGAATATATGAGAATATAACTGCTTGGGGCACCTTAGAGGTATCTCCCTTTCTGATCCTGTGACATTGTGTGCTGCAATTGCCTCCATTTCTGTTGGTTTAGCATTCTTGGGTGTGGCTGCGCAACATCCGCAATTCCATCATTTTGTTGGTTGGAGTCCTGCACTTTTCCCTATTTCTGGTCAAAATCCAACCTCTCTCGGGCTGAAATTCAATTCTTGAAGTTGATATCAATCTCAATTGTAGGTCTATTTTATCCTATTTTTTCTCTGTTGAAGCCACAAGGTGGTGCCCCATAGTTAGATAAGTTGGTTTATAACTCCCATAACTATGGTTTATGGCAGATATAACTATAGTTAATGGGGTTTATAAACCAACTTACAACTGGGGGGCACCATCCTGCAGCAATCTTCATTGGAATCCACCAAAAAATAACCCGCCAATTCCTGCTGCTGAAACCGATTTGTTTCCAAGGTTTGGAGGCTGAAAGCATCAAGGAATTTGAGGCCAATGTGGCTTGGTCCGTCCGTTGGTTCCTCTCATTCGGAATGATGAAACTAACCACAACAGAAAATAGGGTATATTCCCAAACAAATAGCCATTTAATAGGGAGAATGATCAGCAAAACCATTGGGTTTAGGGGTACACTATTTTCAGACACACCCATATCATGGGGATATAGTTGACAATGGCCTACATACTGGGTATATACTAGGCATATGATAGGATATAGACCAAACATTCATCGGATTGGCTAAGGGAACATCTAAGAGGGAACCTTGGGTTTTTCCTCAAAATGGGGCTTCCGGCAGATTTTCTCAAAGATTGTGGGGGAGTCAGTTTTGACCCGTTCATTTTTTTCGGATTGGGTTTTAACCTTTTCACAGGGCGATGCTGTCATGATCAAACTATATCACACTGAAGTTGATATTTATTTCACCTAAAAAGCCGCAAAACCTGTGCCCAAAGAACGAATTTTGGACTAATCCCAGTTCCCCTCTACTCAAACATTATAACCGAAGCTTTGAATGGGAAAACTTAGGGGTTTTTCCAGCCACGGCATGCCCACCCAAGCAGGGCCTGGGCTTTCTGGGCCTGGGCGAGCCCAGGTGAAGAACGACTTGTCGGCCGTGGAATATCCGCGCGCTGATTAGCTGAGATCCTGGCCTCATGGAGGGGAAGTCTTAGATGCCGCAAAGTCATGGGATTTAAACGGGGTTTACCCTCTGGTAAATTAACAGTTCGACCCTGAAAATTGCCTAGTTTTAATGGAAACTATATAATCTTCCAACCCCTATCTGCCAGGGTCTATGTTAATTTACCAGAGGGTAATGTTTTTTTTTTCAAGGGTCTAATGGGATTCATAGGGATTGAACAAACACTCTGTGGGATTTTTTGGAAATAGAAACGCAGGTAATTTTTCAGATAGCTACGGAATAGAGAGGCCCATCTAGTTTGATCGTTTGCCCTATATTTACCTATTACCTTTTGGTAAACAAATATAGCTATTGAACATGGCCATAGAAATAGTGGATTTTCCCCCAAAAAATGTGATTTTCCATAGTTATGTTAGTTTACCAGAGGGTAAACATATTGAACACATGGGATCTTCCATAGCAAAGTGAATTACCGGAGGGTACTGTAATTCGAAGATGCCCCCGGATAGAATTCTATATGATGATAATTGGAATGGTGGCAACATTATGATAATTGGAATGGTGGGATCCACAACTGCATAACAAAGCATCCCCCATTGTCAATCATAAATGGAGGGGGGCTCGGACTCCTCATCGGGGGAGAAAAGGAGTTAGAACTTAGAACCAACTTGCGCAGAAGGCCCTGTCCTGGATCTTCCCGGCAAATCCCGCTCATTCTCGATAACATCCTCATGTTTGCTGCAGCAGCCCTCTGGTAAATTAACCTGTTGACCCTGATGTTATCACCAATTTTTCATGGAAACTAGTTTTCCAACCCCTATTTGCCAGGGTCAACAAGTTAATTTACTGGAGTGTTTTTCCTATGATAAAACCAGGATAACCCATTATAACAATGTTATAACCCATTAAACCATGGAATGGGTAGTACTTGACTTTTTTGCCACTCCACTGCCCCGATGCGATCCAAGGACACGTCTCTGGCGGAGATTCCCCCTACATTGAGCTTGCCGGGCCAACGTGCCGTGGCGGGCAACAAAGAGATGCCATCCTTGGAAAAAGAGGTGCTCTGCAACTGCTGGAAATGATGGGTGCGTCAAACTTGGTTGGATATCATGGACTTGATTCACTTTGAGAGTGTCTTTCTTTGTAAAAATCAAATGGCTTAAAGAAGCAACCCAACGGATTTTTCATGGTAATTACTAAGATCAGGAAATTTGTGATGATTAGTAGCATCCATTGGCCATGCTATTAGCAGTGTCTCCTGGCTGAGATCCCGTGGTTGATCCCCAAGACCTGCATCAACTGGCTCAACTAAGCTGGCAATGTGCGGGGAAGACATGGGAAGATGCACATGACTTCAGCTTGCAGGGTTTATGGTTTATGGTCCCTTAGTAAAGAGATAGGATCCAGCATCCCCAGGTTTACCACATATTGATAGGTTAAGCATGGTAGAGCCTCAAAACACTAATGCAGGTGGTTTATTATGGTTTATTATTGGGAAAACTTTTGATGGGTGGTGTAAAGCATCAAAATACGGGTGGTTTATTGTGGTTTATTGAAAAAAAAACCGCACTGCATATTAGATCATAGATCATTTTCCTGTTCCTTGGACGACCGGGATTTCTTTTGGGGAGAACCATGATGGTTTTCCGGCCACCCCGGGTTAGACCATCCATGACCATCCAGAAGGAAGTCCATGGAGAGCACTTGGTGGATGCTGCTAGTGTCCCTTTAAAATGGATAAACATTGGAGAATTTTCCATATATTTAAGCGAAAATGAACTACATATATGGAGTACATATATCTGACAGCCTCATTTTGGAGGTGTTAACATCACCAGCTGACAAGCTTCCAGATCAGATCAACAAGCTGTCCCCATGGGCTGCTGCTTGAGTCCTTCTTCGCTCGAGGCTGCGGAGTTTTTTTCCGCCTTGTCCGACCGCAAAAATCGGATGTTTTCCAGCACACAACTCGAATGAGTTTGATCCCAGAAATCTCCGATGTTTGGTTAAGTGGCCACTTTCCCTTAACGGCTAAAGTGGCCATAACATGTTATATACATGTTACATGATTTTATCTTTGGCTTTACCATATGTAGAACATAATTCTGCCAAAACTAAATTGGGGGGTAAACGGTAAAACCCAATTTTCCGACAGCCCTCCGTTTGATTCGGAATGCGCTGCTGCTGAAAGATCTTCTGATCCTGAACCCCGCCCTCCGCTGCAACGAGGGTGCAAACGATCGCGAACCCCCCCTTCATGTCATGCCCCAACTTTGTGTAATATAGCCCAAAGCTGTGATATATATATATATATGATATGTTCCTTTATCGAAAGATGTTCATATTTTCACCCCTGGCATACCATGGCACACTCCCAATTCAGGAACATGTTTTCTTAATTAGGTAACTTTTACCAACAAACATGATATCCAACCTAGATCTTAATCTGGCGGGCCCCTCGCTGTGCCATGACTTCTGGGCAAAGCCATGTGGTCCTTTACTGCGGCTGTGGTGACCCTTTGGAGTGGCTTGGGTGATCAAATTGTTCCACGGAAATTGAAGTTTTTGGGCCAGATATGGGCAGAGATTGCCCTCCAAATGCGTATGGATGATCCTGTGTGAAAATAAAACACACATTCGAGACCCCACTTTTCACCATTTTCACGGGTCAAATGGACAGAACAAACATTCCCACCTGGTGAAAAGGACCCATATTTTACCCACATCATTGGTATCCAGGGCCTTTCGTTGTTTAAAAGACCAAGGTTTCGCGGCGGCATCCGGAAGTTGGGATGTCTGTGCCAGTCAGACTCTCAGACTGTGAAGCTTGGAGCTGGCAGTGTCCTTCTGGACACAGTCAGATGGAGCCTACTCCAAAAAGTTTCACCATGGAAACACCATGTTGTTTCAGCTGGCATCATGTTTCCCTTATCTGGCCAGACGTGCAAAAAGTCATTTAAGAACCTTAAGGCAACTGGACCATGACCACGTAGTTGTGCACGTCATCTTTAATTTGATCTCTACCAATCTGTCCAGAATGAATTTTTAAGGGAGAACTTTCAGGACATCCTACGTCGTTTTGGGGTTGTAGACTATGGATGACATAATGACATACCCTCTGGTAATTTAACATAGCTATGGAAAATCACCATTTTCAATGGGTAAATCCACTATTTCTATGGTCATGTTCAATAGCTTTTTGTATGTTTACCAGAGGGTATCCTTGAAATGAATCTAGTGATATATGAGCCGGCATCAACATGATCAACCACTTAAAACGAAGGAGAACTCTGCAGGACCAGCCCCTTCTTTTACGGTCGGCACACTCCAGTATTAATTCAATAAATGACCCTCTTTGACCAATCCAATGCATCACACTTTTACTGGCTCATTTCCATGAACTTCCCAAATTTCTTGGGTTAACTCTACTGTTTTTTATGGCTTAACCCCCATGAAACGCGCCGTTTCAAACCCCGTGCCAGACCACGTGGGACTGCTCCAACTAGACCTCTCGTTGACGCCGGCAGACACGTCGCTGGCGGTGCCGCCAACGTTGCGGGCCGCGGAGCCACTGAAGTTTCTGCGCCGCGGCCGCTTCGGAGGGCCCGAACCCGCTGGAGGAACGGGAAAATCATCCATAAATGGTAAACGTTTACATATGTCTACATTGCTATTGAAAAAGGCCCATAGAAATAGATGGTTTACCTATTAAAAATGGTGATTTTCCATGGCTATGTTAAATAACCAGATGGTAGATTTCAGGGAATTTTCCAGCCAGCCATGTTTGATATCCGGAGGGCAAACATGTTTTTTCGGCTCATGTGGTAAATCCAAAGAATAAACCGACGATGTTTGGAGATGATTGGGTAATATTGGGGCAAAAAAATACCTTTGGCGTTAGCCAAGCTGTAGTCCCCCATTTGTCAGATATCCATAGATTCCATTTAGGATATCCAACCGATTTCATCCCCAAATGATGGTGGTCTCTATTACTCCCCAGGGGGGAAACAAACATAAGCATAACTGGTTGGTGGTTTCAAACATGGCTGGATTATTTTCCATTTCATACATTAGGGATGTCATTCTTCCCATTGACGTTCACTCCATCATTTTTCAAGATGGTTATTGCACCACCAACCAGTAATTATTATTAACCATCATTAACCATATACCATATATTAACAGTATATATCAACCACAATGGTAGGTTAAAACCACCAACCATCATTAACTAACATAGCCATGGAAAATCCCCCGATCTCCAGATCATGTCCGGGGGGAAAGCCATGCGATGTTTCTCAAGGCACATCCCAAAGTGTGGCACTTCCTTCTTGCACCTTGTCGCGTGTAGCGTCGGGGACGGCGGGCCATGGTTGCGGGAATGGTTGGACAGGTGGGTTTTGAACGGTTGTTCAGGTAGTAAATCTATGATAGAATTGATGCATATTTTGGATACATATATCACATGCGCACACACACATAATATATATATATGCCAAGGTAGATCTCAGGGGCGGGTACCACACACACACGCACACACACATATATATATACATACATTGTACATATACATACGTATATACAGTACATATTTGATACATGATTATTGAGCGTATTGAACATATAAAAAACTGTACGTTTTGGAGGCGTACTCCCAGGGTGTCCTCTATCATTGAGTTCCGGGGAGTGTGGAGACCTGTCAGCTGCCAGGTCTGTTGGAAGGTGTGTGCTCTCCATGGTTAACTAAGTTGGTTTAAGTAACTGATACGGCTGCCTAAAATTTACGATCATCTCTTCAATGGGAGAAAACTTCAGGATCCGATAAACCATGGAGGTACGTTAGTACGTACCATATGTTTGGCCATTAACTTTGTGGGGATATTCCCTGAAATTTATGGCCATTGACCTTTAGTACTCTATAATTATCTTGTTATTTTTTAAAAAACAACTCAAAACTAACATCGCAATGTGTGTCAATGTGTGAAATGATGTCAAGCCATGATTTGCTATCCGAAGGTCTGGTAATTCAGCCTGCTACCCTCTGGTAAACCAACATCGCTATTGAACATGGTCCATTTATAGTTGTTTTACCCATTAAAAATGGTGATTGTCCAGTTCGCAAACTGTTAGTTTACCAGAGGGTAACCCAGACTTTGCGATCTCGAGGAATGCCATTGTCCACACGCCGAGCCTTTGTCCAGATTTGGATTGGCGATATGAAGTGAATTCGGACGTCCTGCCGCTCGGTGATTGCCCACGTACGAGTCCGGATGTATGGCTGCTGACGGCTGAAATATGACCAATTTTTAGCAATTTTTTGCAATGTTTCATCTATAGTAACCCCCAAAAACATGTCGAACCGTGTTTCCACAATGGTATACATGAATATATAGATGATACTTTTTTTACATATTTTCCAGGTTTTAAATCGGGTTTCCCACATATTTATCATTCAAAGGCCCCCTGGCCCTTTTCAAAGGGATGCTTTTCAGCTTTGCACAGGTGAGAGGCAGTTCGGCCATGAAGAAGCAACAAAATGCACCGAGGCAGCCAAAACAGGAAAATAATGGTGACATTTAAAATGAAAATAAATGAAAATACAAACTAATATTTTTTTTTTGGGCCCATTTGTGTTTTGCAATATTACTTTTAGAAGGGGGCAGGGTACCCTTCTACTCAACAACCTCGTCCCACTCCCCACAACACACAAAACAACTTGTTTTATTAGTTTTTTTTTCATTTTTTTTTGGCCCCATTAAATGCCCCATTCCATTAATTTTTCAGACACCGTAAAATGCTATTTAAAAAAGCATATAATTCACATAATTTAGCCACAGTAACTCTGAAAAGCACCCCGTTGAAAAGATCCCCAGAGATTTCATCATCCCAGCAACTCCCAGATCTCCCAGCAACCCTACGTAAAACGCACCAGTAAGATTTACCATCTGCTTATGACTTTGCCAGTTTGCCATGGAAAATCACCATGAAATTAATAGGTATAATTTATAAATAGGTAAACCATCTATTTCTATGGGCCATCTATACCATGGCTATATTAAATAACCAGAGGGTAAGCCCCATTAATATCCCATTGAATCACTATAAAATCCCATTAAATCACTATAAATCACTATAATACCATGGCAAACTGTTAGTCATAACCACAGCAACATTTTTCCGAAAAAAATCCAGGTCCAAGAGCTTCGAGAGGGACTTCTGGCATGAATGTCCTCAGGTAGGGTGGGACCTCGGAGCTCCTGGCAGTAAACTGTTACATAGCTAGGTAAACATACAGCTATTGAACATGGCCATAGAAATCATGGATTTACCCATGAAATATAAACATTTGGTGATTTTCAATAGTTTGTTGTATGTTTACCAGAGGGTAGATGATAACAATGATAAACATTTGGCTAAATAAATAGATATATGATATGTGTATATTATATAACACATTATATAACCTCTGATAGTGAAAGGAGTTAGTTACGGCTAATCTATGGAAACTGGGAGAGAGAGATGATAAACAATGATATTTTACTGATTTTTACTGTACCTGTTAAGCATGGTGATTTTCTAGTTTACTGGAAGGTTGCTGCTATTTTTTATGTGATGAGATAATCATTGGATGATCATTGGACGAATCTTCAGAATATCAGAAGACCTATTACTACCTGGTAAACTAACAGGTCGCGCCGCCCTTGGGCAACTGGTGTTTTTTGGTGCCTTTTGTTCTTTGCGCCTCTGCTCTTTTGTTCTTGCGCCATTATCAGCGAGCGTTGCAAGCTTTGGCCAATTGTTTGAGAAAGTGCAATGGAACATTCCCCCGGCAAGTTTTTTTAAAGTTGTCTAAACATAAGTACATATGACATATGTATATATATATACACATAGATTATATATATATAAATACATTTGATAGATATGTATATATACATATATATATAACATCATATATATAATATATATATATGCGTGTGTGCCGGTGGGTGGGAAATATAATTAAGAGCATAAATATAAACAAGAAGATATGTACATGTGTATGTATATAATAGTGAACATAGATGTATATGTATGCACATGTTTATATATATATATGTATCTAAATGTGATTTTCATTGTGTAATGTTGTATATATATATATAGATAACCCAGCCAACCCCGCAGTTCACGAAGCATACATGACGTGAGCAAGTTCACAGGGACGTTAACATCCCCCCTCACCCCACCCAAACCCCGAAGTTCAAGAAGCATACATGACGTGAGCAAGGTCACAGGCACGTTAACATCCCCCCTCACCCCACCCAAACCCCGAAGTTCAAGAAGCATACATGACGTGAGCAAGTTCACAGGGACGTCAACATCCCCCCCCCCCCACCAAACCCCGAAGTTCAAGAAGCATACATGACGTGAGCAAGTTCACAGGGACGTTAACATCCCCCCACCCACCCAAACCCCGAAGTTCACGAAGCATACATGACGTGAGCAAGTTCACAGGGACGTTAACATCCCCCCTCACCCCACCCAAACCCCGAAGTTCACGAAGCATACATGACGTGAGCAAGTTCACAGGGACGTCAACATCCCCCCTCACCCCACCCAAACCCCGCAGTTCAAGAAGCATACATGACGTGAGCAAGTTCACAGGGACGTTAACATCACCCTAAAAAAACAAAAAAAAAGGTTTCGTTACCAGTTGCCTGGGGGCGGCGTTGGGAACTAACATAGCTTTTGAACATTGCCATTTAGTTCATTGATTTACCCATTATAAATGGTGATTTTCCAGTTCGCAAACTGTTAGTTTACCAGAGGGTAATTTTTATGGGGATTCCACCCCCAGGTGACTTCCAGTCAGTCGGTTGAGGTCAAATTCAGCAGGGTCGGTCACCTTTGGGAGACCCAACAGTTCAGGTGAAGTATGATAAAATTTTACCCAGATATATCAACCCAAACTATATTATGTACATAGTTTTATATATTAACCATATTTCAGGTAATCATATATATATAAACATATATTTATATAGTTTGATCTCCCAGAAACCCAAACGTTAGCCAAGTGATGTTTACCAACTTAGCTATCGTAAACGCAAGCCGCACCTTGCAGGACACACGTTATTGGGGCTAGACCTTTACACTTTGGATCCAAAAGTTAAAGGTGGACAGGTCAGCTCTAAGAGATATGATGTACTCATGATATCATTTTTTTTTATATTTTGAATGTATACATATATATATATATACACATATTAGAGAGACATGCATACATACGTGTAGATGGGGGCAAGGTTTCTCTACACGTGTAGAAAGTTCCACCTGAGCCTAGCCACCTCGCCTCACCCCAGGTGTGCAACCAGAGCAGGTTCGAGTGCAACTCGGCCTCCCAAACCCACGAGGGCATTGGAAGCAGCTATAGTTCCTACAAAGGCCAAACCCGTTGGAACCGGAAATGGGAGACTTTTTTCGCAGTTTATGGCGATATCATATATCATACACATATCAAATTTCATATACCCTCTGGTTATTTAACATAGCTATTGAAAATGACCATTTATAGTGGATTTTCCCATTAAAAATGGTGATTTTCCATGGCTATGTTAAATAACCAGAGGGTATCATATCATTATATATGACATCATATCATCATATCACATCATTCAGATTTGGGAAAATGAGGTTCCACACCGTGGGATGGAATGCTAGTCCGACCGGTCCCCCGAAGATTTTTCCACCACATTTTTTTCACGCATGTCGAGTGAACATGTATATACCTAGATATTTGGTTACAGATGGTTACAGGAAAAAAACCCTCTGGTAAACTAACAGTTCGCTATTGAAAATGGCCATAGAAATAGTGGATTTTCCCAGCTATAAAATGGTGGATCTTTCCAGTTAGCTATTTTGACATAACCAGAGGGTATCTGGATACATTCTGAACGACATCAGTGCTACGTCACCTGGAATGTCAGGCCACTTGATCACCATGATGCGGCAACCGGAACAACGGGTTTTGAGCGCCTACCACGATGCGCGGTTCGACCACGGGGCCTCGCGATACCCCAACGTGTGCCATGCCGATGGGAGGGGTGATTGGTCTGATTTTGATGGATTTTGATGGATTCTGATGGATTTTGATGGATTTTGATGGATTTTATGTCAGTACGTATGCAAATATATGGTCATAGTTTGGCTTTATTTATTTCTCATCCCCAATCTTGGACTGGTAGTTCAATCCATGAAAAAATCCTTCAGGTTTTTTCCTAAGTGGAAAATCACCAGCCAACCAACAAAAGATACCCTCTGGTGAACTAACATAGCTATGGAAAATCACCATTTTTAATGGGAAAATCCACTATAAATGGTCATTTTCAATAGCTATGTTAGTTTTATCAGAGGGTAAAAATTCTTTTGGTAGACCAAAGATTGACCATGTTCTCAGATACAATTTTATAGAAGAAAGAGCTGACTTCCAGGCGGTTTTTTGTGTCATGGTGATCTTGCGGAGCAGTCATTCCCATTCTCTGGGATAGCCTTGGTGATCCAAAGCCAGCCTGGCCTGGCCTGTCCGTGTGTCCCATGATTTACCATGGAAATCCTCTGTAAATGGAGGTTTTAATGGATCATCCATGGGGGTTTTCGCGTTCTAAGCCGTCTCTGGCAACCTGAGGTCCGCCTATGCGGAAGGGGTTGCAGGCACCTGGCGATGCCAACCGGGGGCACCCGATGTCCTACCGGGGCCGGTCATGTTTAATGCTTTTAGCAATCCCCAAAACGATCGAAAAGTTATGACACGTGATTTCTCGCTCTTTTAGGATTGCCCCAAGAAATTCTCGCATCAAGTTGGTGAAGTCCCAAAAATCTCTCAGATTTCCCATAGTTTGATGGTGAAAATTGGCGTCGAGGTTTGGTGACCTGCCAGCTGACGGGTGCGAAGTCTGTGGACCCGGTGCCACAGTGTGGAGAGCTCCAAAAGGCGCCGGGGGGAGTTTTGGGATGGCTTTTCTGTAGGATTTATGAGATTTATGTGAGAGTTGAGAGTTATATAATCGTTATATATGTTCTATTTTGAAAACATACTAAAACATATTATAATGGAATGGACTCTTATATGCTCTGCTAGCTTATTTTTTACAATGTTTTTCCACTCGTTTTTGTGAGATTTGATGGGAAAGAGCGGGTTATTGGGTTTGCATGAGGGATTGAACGGAGATTTTCATTTCGAATCTGTATGTCGGACTTATGTTGAATTTTAAGGGATTAGTTAAAAGGTTTTACGCGATATTGATGTTTTATACATGGTTTGCACGGTATTTTCGGTTAATTATGTGGCATTTATGGGTGTTACTGATGATTGGATGGATGATTTGCGAATTGGAATCGGGATGTGCACGTTGAAAATGAGGTGGCTTGGAAAGAAAACATGGGACGTAATTATTCTAGGTATCCAAACTGGTTGGTGGTTTGGATCATTTTTTATTTTTCCTTATATTCGGAATAATATAATCCCAACTGACGAGCTCCATGATTTTTCAGAGGGGTAGGTCAACCACCAACCAGCAAAGTATAGCATTTTATTTTCACATATATTTATATAATTGCATACGCACACACACACACATATATATATATATATCTATATACACATATTATTTATATTTATATATACATATACATGTATATATATATGCTGATGAAACTGTAAACATGGTGATCAGATCCAGAGAAATTTTTCGAGACTGTCGCAGCTCCATAAAATGGCCTCGGCGGCCAAGGCCATCCAAGGCCAAGGATCTCGTCGGACGTGGTTGGCGCCATCGCCAAGATTCTAAGATCTACCATGTGATAATGGGTGGTCTAAACCATGAAAAAAACCATCAATTTATATAATATTCTAAGCCATTGAAAAACCATAAAATAAACCATAAAATAAGCCATTATAATACCACCATCCAATCCACATATATATATATATACATATAATATATACCACATATTATAACTAACAAGCCATATTATAACATATAAGCCATATATGCACATCATAACCATTCTTTAACTGACTCAGGCCGATGCCCTGGCAGCAGCCCAGCGACTGCGCGAGGGCTTCGTGTTGCTTGGGACGTACTCGGAGCTTTTTTCGGATTGATTCAATTGGTGAATAACCAATGGTAATTCAGATATAACGAACTGGTTTATGGTAGTATCTATAGTTATAATATAAAACTATGGTTTATGGTAGTATCTATAGTTATAATTATAGTAACTTGGTTTATACTAAAACTATATATAGTTATAACTATGGTTTATGGTAGATATATCTATATAAATTATAACTATAGATACTATAACATACTATAACTATATTAGGTTATGGTAGTTATTTATTAACTATATATAGTTATATCTACCATAAACTGGTTTATAAAATATGGTTTATGGTAGATAGAACGAACTAGTTAATGGGCTTTATAAACCACGTTATCACTGGGTCAATGGGATTCTAGGTGTCCAAACTGATTGGTGGTTTGGAACATGAATTTGATTTTCCATAATATATGGGAATAACAATCCCAACTGACGAGCTCCATGATTTTTCAGAGGGGTAGGTCAACCACCAACTAGATGAAGTTGGTGAATAACCCGTGTTCATGAGTGACCCGGCTTAATGCAAATGAAGTCACCAAAGTGGTTAACTGTGTAAATATCAATGGATTGGTTTAAGGGAAAATTTACAGGAAACCATGGTTTTTACCATTAAATATGGGGTGTTCCTGTAAATTTTCCCGTAAACCAATCCATTGAAAATAAGTTCCCATGTTAGTAAGTGGCTAAGAAGGGTGAATAAGTCATAATAAGTCACCGATGGATGATCCCGTGAATGGCGTTATTTATCCTCCAAGAATTCTCCCGCGACTCTTTTGGGGGGTGAGTGGTCAGTTCATGTCAGTTCTGCTACTCACTGGTTCTCAAGGCATAAATTGGATTTTTAATTGGGCTAATTATGATAATGTCAACCCCGGATGAGACTAAACCATGGTTTATTAATTAGGGGGGGTACTCCTCCAATAGTCATTTCATCTGATACTTTTTTATGGTACCCTCTAAAAATTAAACAGTCTAATTATAGGGTTTATTAATCCAGGGGTTGACATTAACTATTATTAACCATTATTAACCACTATTAACCACTATTAACTTGTTGAGAACCTGAATGATCTGAATGATCTGATGGGGATCTCAGTGGCGCCTCCAAAAAGGAGGGGGATGACAGAGGAAAACTGAAGGCCACCAGAGTCAGTCTATACTGCCTATATTGCGCACGCTGGTTGGAGGTTTCAATTCCCCTCTGGTTATGACTAACAGTTCGCCATGGAAGCCATGGCCCATAGAAATAGATGGTTTTTTCCTATTAAAAATGGTGGATCTTTCTATGGCAAACTGTTAGTCATAACCAGATGGTATTTTTTTGGGTGATGTTTCAATCCATACTTAAGACTTGGGATGATTAGTTGAGATATGTTAAGATGACTCTTTGTTTGGGATGGGTAGAAACCACCAAGCATGACATTCCCCAGTCTGCCCCTTCCGAACAATTAGGCCCCTCCTGTCTTGCTCCAAGGTTCGTGGGCATCATGGAGGAATGGGCGTCTCGGATTGCCATATCCTGAAATTTTGAACTGCCTGGATACCCTCTGGTTATGTCAAAATAGCTATTGAACATGGCCATAGAAATAGTTGATTTTACCCATTCAAAATGGTGGATCTTTCCATCGTTTTTCATGGATTTCCATGGGTTTGGAGCTGCATGGAGCTGCACTATGGATAGCCCTGCGCCCCTGGGACATGGGGCTGGGTCTCTAAGGACATGTCGATGTGCCTTTTCCACAAGATCTTCGGAGGCGGGTTTTGCCAATGGTGACGTCCCAAAAAATGGCCAGATTTGCCAAGGGGGTGTTCAATATAACCCAGATAGAACATGATCTACCCAATTTATAGTGGTTTAATGGGATTTATAGTGATTTAATGGGATTTATAGTGATTTAATGGGATTTATAGTGATTTAATGGGATTTTATAGTGATTTAATGGGATATTAATGGGATATACCCTCTGGTAAACTAACGTAGCTATTTAAAATGGCCATAGAAATAGTGGATTTACCCATTAAAAATGGTGATTTTCCATAGCTACGTTAATTTACCGGAGGATAAAGCACGAGCCATCTTTGAAAGTCACAGAGTCAGGCACTTGAGGACTTGGATCTTTCACCTTCTGAGATTTTCGACGAAAGGTTTGTCCGCACGACCTGATGGTTTGATTTTTCCAGGGTGTTGAACCGCCAAAGCCGACCTGAGTGACTCTGGAATCCAACACATGATTTTTCTTGTTGAGAAATCAGGTGTTCCACTTCGATGTTTGTTTCACAGTATTCATCTGGGTATGGGTCAATACCTATAGATACATTTTTAGTGGGATGAACATCCATAAATCCCAGCTATTTTGATGTGAACTACAGGGGTACTATTGGTTTTGACACACTGCCATCTTTTAACATCTTTTGACTGTGGCTGTCTTGTCCCCCAAAAAGAAATTAGTCTTGTCCCCCCAAAAAGAAATTACAGCTCAAACATTGCCATCCTAAGAACCATGAGTCAGAACATGTCAAAACCCTAGTGAACTACCTCGCTGGTGGTAGTTAGGCCCCGGGGTTATTTATGTTTTATACATTATTGTATAATATTGTAAAATTCTGTACGCAGTTTTTGGCATAGCCTATCTTCCAACCACTAGAAGTGACCTTTTAATAGTATCAACCTTGACTACACACGGTTAGTGGATTGGGGCCTTGTACAGATCTTTTAATGATTTTAATGGAGCATAGATTTTCATTTTTTTTTGTTGGGATATTCTTCCCAGTTCACTCCCCAAGAATCCAATTGTGCCAAGTTATTATCCCCAGTTTATATGCCAGTTACCCTCTGGTTATGACTAACAGTTCGCCATGGAAATCCCAACCATAAATGGAGGTTTCTAGCTGGGAAAATCATCTATTTCCATGGGCCATCTATACCATGGCGAACTGTTAGTCATAACCAGAGGGTAATAGATGTAGAAAACCCATGGGGAAACCCTTGGGAAAATGATCTAGAAATCCTGGTGGGGTGGAAATTCACCACATCGAAGTGTTTCTGTTAGTCATAACCAGAGGGTATCAGTTCCGTGATGTGGTTTCTACGGCAGGCCACTGCTGGCACTCGGATTTCGAGAATTCCCGGCCGTGGCCGGGCAGCAAGCCATGTTTGCCAGACAGGCTGAGCTGGATGGCTGCTGGAGTATGGAATGGTTGCAATATGTTGCAATATGTAATAGCTAAAAACATATAAAATTAATACCTTAACTGGTAAACATACAAAAAACTATGGAAAATCACCATTTTTAATAAGTAAATCAACTATAAATGGTCATTTTCAATAGCTATGTAACAAATTACCAGAGGGTAAATACTATAGTCTTATGAGAGATTATGGATGAACAGCAGAGTGACGCCTTTGATGTTTCGCAAAATCGTTGGTGATATAATCCCATGAAACATCCCCAGGCGTATTCCATGAAATAGTCCCCCAGAATGGTTGTAAACTCCCGTGGTTGGAGCATCTTTCACGCCACGGGGCCCTGAATTGCTAAGGACGGACCCGGAGGATACCAGTCCGTACAACGTCTCCGAATTGGACTCTGGGTGTTGCAGTGGTTGGTGGCAATGGTTGGTGGATGTTGGTGGTGAAGCCATGTTAAATCTTCCCCAAGATTTGATGGTGACGAATATGTTCACATGTTGTGGTGGAAAGACCCGATGTCATCCTCAACAATATCCACGGGCACATTCAAGATGGCTGGTTTGCCATGGTTTGCCATGGTTTGCGGGGTAGCATTGCTGCTGGGATTTGCCATGGCTGATGTGCCTTACATTGTGGGCTTGGAAGATGGCACCGGGATGGGCTATCCAACCTCATCAAGCCGAAGAGCAAGCATATCTCAGCCATGTCATGGCACTAAACTTGTATATATATACAATTATCTAATGTGATTGTTAATACTGAACTACCAATTATTATATAACAATTATGTTGATGAATTATATTTCTAAAACTATCTAGTGATGGTTACGGTAATGATATTATATAATGAACCAGTTGATAGTGAATATCCACACACTGGGAATATCATCGGGAAACCATGAAACATGGTGCAGTATCGTTGAACGTATCTCTGGTAGTGATGTCACTGGAATGATGGTGAGGATTAGTTCTTCCCAAATGGCCGCCATGGTTTCAGTGATTTTTTAGGGTGGATGGATTCTTAGTGACTTGATGTGACTTGGATGTGACTTCAGCCAGACGTGTCCTGTAAACTAACAGTTTGCTATTGAAAATGGTGATTTATAGTGAGTTGTCCCATTAAAAATGGTGATTTTCCATAGTTATGTTAGTTTACCAGAGGGTATTTATATTGAATACTGTAACATTTATTTCCAGAATCAACACATCGGAGGGCGCCGGAAGGGATAGCAAATCATAGCAACCAACAGATTAATAAAGTGATGTGAACAAAGTCGACCATGGGACATGGGACATGACGAGAAGGGCACCCCCTATCCTCGCCCAGGAGGGATTCCGGGACGAATTGGATGGTGTCTCGGCTGCTGTTGACCAGCTGGTTGCTGGTTGCTGGATGTTGCTGGTCGGTTCTACAAGTTTGAGAGTCATCGTAAAAACACCAATCTCGAAACAAGCGTTACCCTCTGGTAATTTAACATAGCTATTGAAAATGGTGATTTATAGTGGATTTTCCCATTAAACATGGTGATTTTCCATAGCTATGTTAAATTACCAGAGGGTAGTTGTTTGTTTAGGTTCATCTAAAGAAATGAATATCCCCGGAGTGAATTCATGTTCTCCCTTTCAGTGGGGTTTTTAAACGCCACCAGCCACCGAAAAAATTCCCCAAGGCCTTGTCTACGAGGAAGCCAAGCGCATCTTCAGGGAACAGCTGGTTGCATACAACGTCACTTGGATATCAGCCCTGGTACCCTTCAAACAAAAAGAATGGGAAAGTATACCCTCTGGTAATGAACTCTTGGAGAGGGCGATGGAGAGAGAGACCCTCTGGTAATTTAACATAGCTATTGAACATGGCCCATTTATAGTTGATTTACCCATTCAAAAATGGTGGATCTTTCCATAGTTTATTGTATGTTTACCAGGTCGGGTAAATCCAAATTTTCAGTGGTACATCATTTCCAATCGGGTGATTTTCTGCAGCCATCGATTTCCCATCAAATCTCCATCGAAATGTGATGTGACATCACCCACTTGTTGAGTTAGTGAAAATTCATGTTAATTCATATCCAATACATCCACATTGTTTAGTTATGTTTAGTTAATGTGGTAAATCCTTGGTGCCATAAACCATCTAAAATTAATTTAACCAACCATTTGGTGCCATAAACCATCCCATTAATTTAACCAACCATTGGGTGGTAATTTTACATTATCCCATTTCTAGGAGCATGCCCAAGTTCAACAAACCTCAATTGGGGATTGTTCATTATTTTTTCGCTACCGCATTAAATTATGTTATAATCCCACTTTGTGGATTGAAAGCTCCATTTTTTCTGTTAAGCAAGCATTACACCTCCATGAAACACCTTCGTTGATTGTGAGATCCCCATTTTTGATGGTTAAAATAGGTTAAAAGAGTAAAATACCCATTCAAATCGCGATTTACCACCATTGTTGTTGGTGAATTCCTTATGTTTCATGGTTAGAACCATCATTTTACATCATTTTCATTGAAAGCCCTGTGACTTTCCCCGACTTCCCAGGTATCCACAGACAGCTGTGCCGGCTGCTGGTCCTTCCGCCGTGCCAGTGGTGTGGTGGAAACCAATCTCCATGGTGGGGCCGTGGGGAAGCTGGAAGATGGAGCACATGTAAAGCGGTATAGTCATAGTGATGATATATAGATTTGTATATATAATTGTATACAGTACATAACATATATATATATAATTTTATATACAATGTATATATATATAATTATATATATACATATGGATATACTTATTTACCAATATATGTATATACATATTTATTTATTTATTTATGTGTTTATTTACTTACCAATATATATATATATACATGTATACAACATGATATATATATATATATAGATGACATATAGTAGCATACACATATGATTTGCCCATAAATGTGTATACATATATATTAAAACAATATATATATATATAGATACATTTGTGTGTGCTCCCAGCTGCAGGCGCTGCGCGGCCGATGGCGATGGCACGGATGGCGATGGCGTGGTCAATGGCTTTGATTCTGGGAATCCTGGGCTGAGAGAAAAGATGGCTTGGCCTGGCCGTGATCCACCATGGTTCATAGGAATTGATATGGCAGTGTGTCAAGACCTTGTACCCCTTCTGTTCACATCAAAATAGCTGGGTTAAAATGGATGTGAATAACCCCCTAAAAATGGTATTTTCATAGGTATTGATCCATACCCATATGAATTTATATGTGTTATGTGGGGTTATATGCTTGATGATGTGATATATGGATATATATATATATATGGGTTATATGATAAGTTATATGGATTAGAACGCGCCCCCAATTAGAATTATATGGAGGTTTCTTGAAATGGGGATACTCCTAAATCATCCATTTATGGAAACCACCATATATAGCAAACAACATGAATATGACATGGGATTTTGTGTGGGATATGAATAGGAAATTTATGATCTAAAAAGCAACACTATCTGAAGTGAAGGAGATACTAATGGTTCATAGGGATATTGCTGGGTATGTTGATGGGGATATTTCATGGGCAGGACCAACAAAAAAAGTGATGACCCTCTGGTAATTTAACATAGCGAACTGGAAAGATCCACCATTTTTCATGGGAAAATCCACTATTTCTATGGTCATTTTCAATAGCTATTTTGACATAACCAGAGGGTAAATTATAGATAATCATGATAACTGGTCTGGAAATGGTCTTTCTTTTCATAGCTATGTTCGTTGACGAAAATGGGAAAACCCAATTCTACCAGCATGATCCAAAAAAAGTGATATGCTTAGCCTCCGGTGAAAGTTGACGCCATGAAAAATTCCGATGGGCTTTCCCGTTCGAAAAAATGACCTGGTCATCCTGGTGGATTTTCCCTTAAATGTACCCGACCTGGTAAACGTTTACAGTTTGCGAACTTGAAGCCATGGCCCAGTGGAAATAGTGAGTTAATGGCCCAGTCGAAATAGTGAGGTACTAACAGTTTGCGAACTTGAACATGGCCATTTATAGTGAGTTTTCCCATTAATAGCATGGTGGATCTTTCCCATCAGTTTTTGGTATGTTTACCAGGTCGGGTAACTGTGTGGCCTATCAGGATCAACCTGATGGATCCTGATAGATCCTCGATTTTTCCCAACAAAAAACCATTGATTGACTTACTGTTGTGCTGCGTTTTACGCAGGGAATTTTCGGGAATGATCCACTGGCGAAATATCAATTTCATATAATTTCATCATCCCAGCAACCCCCAGCAACCCATCCAGCAACCCTGCGTAAAACGCACCAGTAAGTTGGAGGGGTGCAGATTGCTGGTACAGATGGGATTCTTTGGCTGAGAACTCGCGAAACCATGGATGGGGTATGATGGGGTGACGTGCCCAACGACCACTCAAATGGTTGTGGCAGAGAGTAAGATCTTTAAGATGATTATCGAGGTTTTAGCTACCCTCTGGTAATTTAACATAGCTATTGAAAATGGCCCATTTATAGATGGTTTACCTATTAAAAATGGTGATTTTCCATAGTTATGTTAGTTTACCAGAGGGTAAATCCAGTCACAAAATTCACAGAATTGGATCCCAGCAGGTTTTCTGGGCCAGTTCTGGACAGGTCCGGCAACAGCTTGAAGATGCGCAGAGAGAGAATGAAGCCTTGAGGCGGGCGGAGGACATGTCGGACATGACTGTCCTGGAGAATCGGGCAAGAAAAATCCCCAGAGGAAACCTATGGAAACATCGAAATATGAACCCAAACATAGGGGACTTAGCCAGGAAAACGCTAGATTTGGCATGGGATACGATAATCCAATCTGAACCTTTTTTTGGAGAATACTGGATCATGGTGGGATAGTAAGTGGTACAGTAGATATTGGTCATGGACACTATGGGATGATTATGGCGCAAACCATCCGCAATAGAGTTACCCCCAGTCATGGCTGGTGAATGGGATGGTTCATGGCATTGGCTTTATCACTAAATAGACTGGTCAACTAGCATAGATATGGAAATCACCATTTTAAAATATTGTAAATAGATGTACCCTCTGTTAAACTAACAGTTTGCTATGGAAAGATCCACCATTGTTCATGGGAAAATCCACGAACTAAATGGTCATTTTCAATCGCAAACTGTTAGTTTACCAGAGGGTAAATTATAGATAATCATGATCATTCGTTTGGAAATGGTCTTTTCATAGCGTTGACTCCGTTGACGAAAATGGGTACCCAATTCTACCATGATCCAAAATGGTTGGTAGTCTCCTCCCATCATTGGTCCCCCCAAAAATGGCTGGGTATGGCTGGGTAGAACCCAGCTTTGGCTTGGACGGCTTGGAGTGGCTTGGAACGTTGGTCGCTGGGTCGGAAAAAATATGAAAAGGCTGGTAGCGTGGCAAAATATGGCTCGACATATGGCACTTTTCATTTAGAAAACATGAATGAAGCGTTGAGAGATGAAATTTGGGGGTTCCCAATCTTTCAAGACAGGTATATCGGTATATCATATCTTTCATGAAGCATCCCAGTTTCTCCCAGAGATTGCAAGTAATCGGCTTAAGAACTTCAGGATCATGATGCCTGACGTTGGTAAACGGCTGGGAGGTAGCTTGTCTCACATCACATTACATCCCACTTATGGAGGTTCAAAGAATCCACGAACTAATCATTATATAGATTGGTTTAAGTGAACATCTTAAAAAAAAAAACATGTTTTTTCCGTGCTTTTCCTATGAAATATGGACCATATAGACCATATGGACCTGTGAATTGACCCTTCAACCAATCCAATGAACTAAACATCGGAGACCATCCACTTCTTGGCAGCTGGCATCAGCTGGCCGCCCAGCTTCCGAGGGTGGAAAACCAGAAGCTGCGGCATCAGCTGTGGGACCTCTCAGATCTCTCAGGGGGAATCGATTCAGGGGGAACAAGCCAAAATGGCATACCCCAGTTAGATTCAGGGGGAATATTCCCAACTATATATATATATATATGCGTACATATATCTGGGTAAATTATAACGACCTCGCTGCGACCTCACTGCGACCTCACTGGGAATAATGGTTAGTAAGGGAAATCATCCCCAAATGACCTTATTTCAGGTTAATGAAATATTATAATTTACCCATATATATATATACACATGGGTTGTAATAAATTGCTTATAGACCACTGCGAATGCTTGGGATGTACATCCAGCGACAAGCTGGTATACCAGTTAATGGGCCCCGATTGAACCACTCTTGGATGATGGGATTCCTCCAGGGCACCCTCGGTTTTTTTTTTGCATCGGAATTTCATGGTTGGTGATTTCCAGTGTCATTTTTTTTTCTCCGAAGATGGGGCAAACATATAGATGATAAACCATATAAAAAATATGACTTACCTATACTTACCTATTATGATTCTATATGCAGTAGATGATAAAAAATATGACTTACCTTTGATGTATGGGCCATTGCATAGCATTTTTTTGGTTTGGCCATGTCGCCATGTGCCAAATGGGGTCGGCAGGCAGGGCCACGCATCGGCGAGAGAGGCAGGGCGACTGCTGCGTCATTCTCATGTTAACATAAACTTGATCTCCAGGCAAGTGGTGCCTGACATGATCCTCACTGATGATTTAGATTGACTTTGTCAGCTTTTTTTTTAAAGCTATCATTTTTTTAAATGCTGTTATCATTATTATTTTTGATGTTTATTTTTATTTTTTATTTTTATTACTGTTATTGTTATTATTGTTGTCATTAAGGTTTCACCTACTGTTGCACTTCCTACCTACTCCTGACCCATAAACATAAGCTGACCAGCTGACCAGGTACAACCTTTGCAACCCTCAGTGCTTAGTTCGGCTTTACACCCCTGCACTTGGAAAAGAAACCCCCAAACAGATTCCAAGTTGGACATCACTTGATGAATTGCTTGTTAGACACAAGTCCCCCTACCGGAAACCATGTTTTTTTTTACATGATTTTACCATATTTTTATCTATGATTTTCCATTGGACCAGCCTTTTAGTATTGACCCTGGCAGGTCTCAGCCTCAGCTGATCCCACCTCACCTTCTGGAGTGGTCGTTGAGGTTTGGGGCCTGGCAAAGCCAATCATCACTGGGATCTATGATTGATCTATGAGTTACCGAGATGATTGGCAAAATCGGAATAAATTTCAATTGGGCCAACACGGCAACAAGATGGGTTGGAAGATCATTTGCATTCGCCCTGGTGGATTTTTGTTGGCTTTGGCCAAAAAACGAGGAAACATGGGGTTCCATTGGGCACTGGTAGTGGAGCGTTTCAGTGGTGCGACTTTTTTAAAGACACATATCTTGTCTTCCCAATCTTCGTTTCTGTGAAATGCTCATTGTTTGGAGCTGAAGTCCCATGGTGTCCACCCATTGTGACACGAAATTCGTTGGTGAAAAACATCGCCTGGCAGAGAAATCCACCAAACATGGCAACTGACCATCCATGGGGATTTCCAGCCACGTGTGATGAAGGGTGATGACACATGATACCTTTCTGGTCATTCACCACAAAATTTTAGTGAAATCATCGTGAAACATCACATTTTTCGAAGGCAAGGCACGCACAAGCGTTAAGTTTCCCCTGATATTCCCATGAGTTTCATGACATAGCACCATGGTTCTTGGTGAAATCCCCAACCTTTAAAGCCCACCCATTGATCCAGTTCTATATCCCATGATTTCCACCAAATTCCGGTTTTCCTCGCATGGCTTTCCATGCGATCCCGATGAAAGACCACCATGAAATGGTTGCTTAACTAACAATTTTTCGAAAGGTAAAACAATATTCCCATGATATTCCCATGATATTCCCATGATATTCTCACCAATTAGTTCCATGAAGTACCACCGATGGTTCTTGGTGAACCAACGCTTACATCAGTTGCTGACCCCGCAGGCTCCAAAGCCCAGTGAACCCAGCCGCCCACCGCGCCCAGCGCTGGCCGAGGCCGGGCCTTGGGGGACGTGATGGCTTTATTCTTGTAATGTGGGTAAAACAATGCCATAAACCATCACCCAAAT